TGTTTTTTTAATATATTTTATTGATTTCAGGGAGAGGAAGGGAGAGGGAGAGAGAGAGAAAAACATCCATGATGAGAGTCATGGATCGGCTGCCTCCTGCGCGCCCCCTGCTGGGGATCCAGGAGCCTGCACCCCGGGCCTGTGCCCTGACCGGGAATCGAACCGCGACCTCCTGGATCCTAGGTTGACGCTCAGCNCACCCCGGGCCTGTGCCCCGACCGGGAATCGAACCGCGACCTCCTGGTTCCTAGGTTGACGCTCAGACACTGAGCCCCGCCGGCCAGGCTGGATCATGTTTTATTATGAAGTATGCGTGGTGTCAACAAACTAGAGGATATTTTAAAATCAAGCCACGCCCCTGTAAATTTAAGGGACACCATTTCGCCGGCACAGTGAGACGGCTTCCATCAGACAAGGCTCAGTGAGTATGGCACGGCCTTGTGAAAGGTTTGCGCTAAAACGTAGCGTGTACAGCGGAGTGAGTGGTTTTCCCCAAATGTCTACATCCCGAAAACTGTCTCTGGTGAGTCAAGACGACAGTGAATTCCACCCATATGATGCGCGCAGACCACAAAAATGTCAAAGCGCAATGAACTCAGCCCCGGATTTCCAATCACACCCACGCCGGCTGGGCTCACCTTTTGTTTTTTGTAGCTCTCTTGACCTCTGTGTTTTCCCCTCCGTGACAGAGAGAGAAATAAGATGCTCCCACCCGGTGCTCACCCGGCATTACCCCCCCTCCTCACGGCAGGCCTGCAGGACTAGTCTGTCCCAAGTCCTGCATTTTCTTCCCCGAGGCAGCCGACACTCACACAATCAACGCCCTGTGCTGTTCCTGACGAAGACGACGACAGACCACAACAGGGCTGGAGCCTGGCGTTCGTCTAAGGGAAACATACAGGCCAAACGACAACGGGAGGGGGGGAGCGCCCCCTGCTTCCTTCCACCCGGGGAGGGAGGGTGAGAACAGCATTTGCTCCATCAATTGGTTGCCTCCCGCATGCGCCCGGACTGGGGCTGGGGATCGAGCCCGCCACCGAGGTAAATGCCCTTGGCTGGAATCGAACCCGGGACCCTTCAGTCCATGGGCCGAGGCTCTAACCACTGAGCCAAACCGGCCGGGGCTGAAAGTAACTTAAAAAAAAAAAAATCACACAGCACCCCGAAAACGAGTCCAGGAAGACAGCCCCCGAGGAGAAAGCTGGATATCGCACGGCTCCCTCCACGGGCCTCATTCTTTCATCACTGAGAAATAATGTGATTTTGCAAAAAAAAAAAACAAAACTCAACGATCATGAAACTCGGAGTTTGCACGCGCCCAAGCTGACCAGGACGTCACATGCCACCTCATTGGCGACGCTCGTGTTCTATGTGCCTGGGTGGAAACCAGACGGCACAGCCCCGCAAAGAATGCGTTCCTGTCTCCTAACGGACCGCGAGCTCGCTGCCTCCCTCGTCGGATTGCGGAATCTGTGGACTATTTCAGAAACGGAACTGCATCTGACCAAGATTACTCAGTAACAAAGGAATGAACTCTTCAAACCCAAACGGCCTGCTGCTTGAAAAACATCACACGCACCGTCCAGAAACAACACGGGAAGTCTCCCGTGCGGGGACCGCGTGGGCGGCGGGTTTCGGGCGGGGAGAGGAGAGGACCGTCCCCCTGCAGATCCAAGGCCGGCGTCCACCTCCCTTCTCCGTGAAGTTCCAGAAGCTGGCGTACGCTTCCCGAGTTCGAAACTATTACATAAATAACTTGGAAACGTGGAGCGATGTTTCTGAGGCCTGCCAGCAGTTCCACCCCAACCAAGCTCCCGGCCAAGACATTCACAAAAAAGGGTTCGGAAGGAGTTACTCTGAGGAGGACGTGCTCACGGCAAACGGATTTCTTCACCTCAGAAAGAACGTATACACCCACCCGCGAGAGAAGGGACCCGGAACGCGACGTCCGTCATGACCGCGTCGGAAAGAAAAGGCATTTTTTAAAAAGTTTAGAGATGAGGCTACACAGAGATTTCCTTAGTATCTTCTGGTATTACTACTGGTATCAAAAATTCATTCAAACATTTCTCTCATACTTCTCCTTCCCGCAGATTAGATGGGCCAAGAGCAGGCCCCTGGCTTGGCGGCTGCCTGGCTGTGTGATCTTGGGTGAGACACCGTCCCTCTCTGGGGCTCAGGTTCCTCGCCTGAAACAACAGAACTCCTCCTATGCTTCCTTCCAATGCAGCCGGGCTACAATTCCAGATGCCTTGTCAGGGCCACACATCCAGCCCTTTGCTTCCCGGGCAGTGGAAATATTAATATTTTAATATTAACCCTTTGCGGTTGAATGTCTACTCTCAGCCACCATGGCAAGGAACCATATGAATCTTAACTCTATTCATTATGTGTCAGTTCATAATTTCTCTGAAAGCTCTTAATTCCGACCAGTACGACACCCATGTCCAAATTTAATACAACCGCAAAGGGTTAATATTAAAATATTACCATTACCATTGTAATCCCAGCTACCACGTATATTAGTATTTCCACAGGAGAGAGGAATTCTGAAGTGAGAGCTCACACAGTCGGTCAACGGCATCCAAGGAAGAGAGGAGCCCACCGACTAGGACTCCGCCGACGATGTCATCACGCGTTGGGACTTTTACAAACACAGGACTGTACGGACATAGAGTTTTACAAACACAGAATGACTGGCACCGGATTCTGGATTTCGGCAAGTAACAGAATTTTTTTTTTTTTTTTTTTAATATGTCTTTATTGATTTCGGAGAGAGGAAGGGAGAGATGGAAACATCAATGATGAGAGTCATGGATCGGCTGCCTCCTGCTCGCCCCCTGCTGGGGATCGAGGAGCCTGCACCCGGGCCTGTGCCCTGACCGGGAATCGAACCGCGACCTCCTGGTTCGTAGGTCGATGCTCAACGGCTGAGCCACGCCGTCCGGGAGAAACAGAAATTCTTACAAAGGATGCCCCTCTGAGGTGAAGGCGATGTGGTGGGAGGAGACACTAGACAGATTTTTAAGAGCGGAAACGACTAGGAGAAAGCATAAACGCAATGGTAGGTCAGAGTGTATATAAGGAACAGCATCTTTAGTTTGGAAAAAACAAACAAACTTGAATCCGCCTAAAAGATACAAAACAAATGCCGTATTAGTCAGGGGCTCCTCACCTGGAGTCTGCAGGGGGGAGAGAAGGCTACAGAGGAGAAGAAATGACAGGTATAAGCAGGCACAAAAGGGCTTCTGCCCCGCCTGGTCCAGCTCAGCAGCTGGAGTGTCGGTCCCTGGACTGAAGGGTCGCGGGTTCGATTCCGTGCAAGGGCATGCACCTGGGTTGCAGGCTCCGTCCCCAGCCCTGGTCAGGGAGCGTGCAGGAGGGAACCAACTGATGTCTCTCTCTCTCTCTCCCTTCCACTCTCTCTGAAAAGCAATGAAAAAAAAAACCAGACTCTAGAGCCCACCGGCATTCAGCTGTCCGCCTGCAAGCAGGTCCCAGCTCCAAAACCACCATGAGCAAGGACAACGGGACCCACCCAGAGCCCGGCCGACCAAGCCTGTCGACCACACGCCCCTCAGCGAGTCGGCGCGAACGGATACCTTCCAAGGATCTCGCACGGCTGATGCAACCACAGGACACACTCACCAAACTGGACGCCGGGACCATTGGAATCCCAGCTACCACGTTTTGCCCAGACATTGGGGAAAAAAAAAAAAGTCATTTCTATTGTGATAATTCCGATGCATCTCTTAAAAGCTTATCAGCACAGCTAATTCCCTGCCTGGCTTTCAGATTGTTATTTAAAAGGTGCTGACCACCCTTTAGTTACAAAATACGGGGTTCGTGATCTTCCAGACACCCTCTCTCCTCAGTTTCCCTGACGTCTGCCTATGAGAACCCCCTGGATCTTTGATTTCTTGATTCAGAGGAGCCACGAGTGATAGGCCCTCTCAAAATTCATCGTGAAGAAGGGCGGGACCACCCTGAGGACGGGGTAGGCCCTGCCAGCCACGGGCCCACGGGCCCAGGGTCAGCAGCTCGCCAGGCACAGCCTTGTTCTCCATCCGTCCTTCATGAAGTGGTTTAAACACACACACCCGTGTGCACACACAGGCACATGCTCACCCACACGCATGAGCACACTCACACTTTCACATGCACACATGCACGCTTGCACATATGAGCACGGGCTCTCTCACACACATGTGCACACACAGGCACATGCTCACCCACACGCATGAGCACACTCACACTTTCACATGCACACATACACGCACATATGTGCACACACAGACATGCCTACTTTGTTCCTTTCTGGAAAACAGGCTTGGCAAAAAAAAAAACACAAAACACNTCACATGCACACATACACGCACATATGTGCACACACAGACATGCCTACTTTGTTCCTTTCTGGAAAACAGGCTTGGCAAAAAAAAAAACAACACANATGCACACATGCACGCTTGCACATATGAGCACGGGCTCTCTCACACACATGTGCACACACAGGCACATGCTCACCCACACGCATGAGCACACTCACACTTTCACATGCACACATACACGCACATATGTGCACACACAGACATGCCTACTTTGTTCCTTTCTGGAAAACAGGCTTGGCAAAAAAAAAAACACAAAACACAAAAAAACCCAACTTTGGTGCTAGTTAAAGCTCAGAGGTCAAAGAAAGGAACGTTTAATCGGAAAACAGCATTTTTGGATAATTTCCGTATCGAACCACCGATCTGGCGATCGCCACAATGAACGAATCCGTCATCCAGAAACAGACTCTCGGTTCGAGGTCCCCGCCAGCGCAAGCACCCCACGCCATGTGGGGAACTGGACCCAAGCATCTTGGGGTCCAAGCAGGGTGTCAAGGGGACACGGTACCCGCGGTGCCCACAGGAAAAGCGAATTCTTTCAAAGTTATTTTTAAGAAACTGTTTCCTGCCCCCCGCTGGCAAACGGCAAAGCCTCAGGGAGGCTCTTACCTGGTCGTCATAGCGATAGGTGAGAAACTGCTCCCCTGTCGTGTCTTCCAGAAAACTGCCCTGGGGGGAGAGTGCAAACTCCGGAAGGAAATAGGCTCCCGGAGACGTCTCCGCCGTGGTCTGAAAGGGAAGATGGCTCGGTTACCGATAAGGCCCCAGCGGAAGTGTCCTCTCTTGACAAAGGCCAAGGTGAGACGTGCCAGGCGTCTGTGCTGAGGCACAGGTAGATCAGAATGTCACCTGGCCCACCTCAAACGGGCACACACGGTGCCCCTCCCACACCTGCCGGCGATTCAGCCACCGTGGAGTCAACGTGCTCACGTTCTGTGGGGTTTTCTCCATTACCCGCCACCTTCCTAGGGGGGAGCCCGTCTACCTCAGCAATCCCGCCCCGATGCCCTGCAGCACCTACTTGAATACCTTTAGTGATGGGGAGCTCACTCTCTCCCCCAAGGCAACAAGGGGTGTCTGAGAACCTAGCAAGTCCATAGACCCCACACTGGTCTGAAGTGGTGCAACTGCTCCCTAACTGGCCAGTGACACCTTCCTTCCCATCACCCTCTCCCCCTTTATCGCCCCCCCGCCCCCCGTAAAACACACACGTTCTAAGTTGAATTCAGAAGCTTGAACAGAGTGAACAACCGAGCCACAGAATTACAGAATCAGGAGGCACCTGAGGGACAGAATCGTCCCGACCCAGCTGCAGCAGCACCTCCGGGGGTCAGACACAACATCCGATGGGGGCCGTTGGAAAAGAACACTGGGGAAGAAGGAAACTCGAGTCTATGGAGCACCTACTGTGAGCATCTACTGTGAAAACTGCCTCATCTCATCCCCACAGCTCCCCCGTGAGATGGGAAGCGAACCATGACCTCCCGGTTCCCAGGTCGACGCTCAACCACGGAGCCAGGCCGGCCGGGCACAGGCCCGGGCTGCAGGCTCGGTCCCCGGTCGGGGGCGTGCAGGAGGCAGCCGATTGAGGGCTCTGCCTCATCACGGATGTTTCTCTCTCTCCCTCTCCCTGAACTCAATAAAAACATATTTTTAAAAAATAAAAAGAACCTAGACAGGCAGCCGGGTCGCTGTACCAGGGACACACAGACTCACTGCCATCGGGTGCAGGGTCAGCTCTGTCCCATCCACTTCCCTCTCTCCCTCCGTGGAAAACAGCCTCGGGAAGACCAGGCCGTCCCGGGGGCGGGGCACAGGCTGAGCTCACTCGGGGCTTCCGAAAGCAAAGGCCCCACGCTGACATTTTCACCCAGGCGGGAGGTGACGCCCTCAACGTCGGCTGGGTGCCCAGAGAGGTCAGGGTCCTTAAGGAGCAGGAGCTGAAGGGAAGAGCGCGGGAGGGAGGCCAGGCCAGGGCGTGTGTGATCCTCCCAGGACACAGATCCCGGCCCGGAGAGGACCTGCCAGCACACAGCGTCCACCCAGCCCCGTCCGCAGCTGCCGGGTCACCGGGGCCGGGCCGGGTCGGGAGGAATCCAGACGGCTCCTTGACCCCAAGTTCCCCTCTGCCTCCGCAGGCCTCCCACGTCCAGCCAGGCCTCGCCCCGGTCATTCCAATGTCTCCGGCTCCTAGGGAGCCACAGCCGGGGCCCACCCAGGCCCCAGGAACCGAGCAAGTGTGCAGAGAACAGCATCGCCTGGCAGCTAATTACATGGGCACGGGGTCTTCGCTGCCAACCTCAGAGACCAGCACCGAGCGCCCGGCGAATCTGGGCACATCCCTCCTGCGTGAATGTGTATCAACTCAGAGCAAAAAAAAAAAAGAGAGAGAGAGAGGAATAAAGAGAGTTACCGGCTTTTCCCAACTTGGCCATGAGACACCACCCCACCTGGCAGAGTCCAGAACCTCGCCGGGAACACGCTCCTGTTTGTTCAAGGCCTTTCTCACCCCTACGGCTTCATTCCCTTCGCTCAGGAACCAGCTCGTCTGCGCGGCTGAAACCGCACCGGCTTCCCAAGCGCAGCCTTCTTCCCGGGGAAGAGACAGACAGAAAATCTGCTGTTTGCACGTTAACCCCGAAGACGTTTACGTTCGCCCCGCGCCCGTTTGTTTTTCTAAGCTCCGGGGCGGGAAGTCTTCAGGGCAGAGCCGCCAAATTCGCTGTTCGGATGCTCACGCCTTTCGGAATTCCTCAGCAAACGAGACGAAAGGAAAGTCGTGGGTTCGATTCCCGGTCAAGGGCACGTACCTCGGTTACAGGGTTGACCCCTGAGCCCCGATCGCCGTGTCTTTCTCACGTCTCTCCCCCTCTTCCCTCTCCCTTCCGCTCTCTCTAAAAATCCAGGGAGCCCTGGCCAGTTTGGCTCAGTGGTTAGAGCATCGGCCTGCGGACTGAAGGGTCCCGGGTTCGATTCTGGCCAAGGGCACGTGCCTCGGCTGCAGGCTCGATCCCGGGCCCTGGTCGGTGTGCAAGCCGGAGGCAACCGATCGATGTGTCTCTGTCACATCCATGTTTCTCTCTCTGAAAAGCAACAGGAAAAATATCCTTGGCTCGGCAGAAACCCGGGCTGTGGAAATGAGGCCACAGCCGGAGGCAGGAGTGGGCAGGACTCGCCAGCGCCAGAGAGAGGCTAGGAAGAGCCCCCCGTGGTAAGAACACGCAGCTCGCAGAAGCGGAAATCCAAAGGCCAGCCGGCGCCATCCGCCAGGCTGCTCGGAGGACAATTTGCCCCGTCCCAGGGCAGAGGGGAAACCCCGCGATGCCCATCTGGATGACCCCGCGCAGAAGGCCTGGCTGAGCGTCTACTTTCTTGCATACGCCCCGCTAACGCCAGGTTCCTCTTGGCTCAAAGGAACGACCGGCTTTATCGAGCCAACACCTTGAACAGGATTTGTGGCCACCGTCCAAATATTTCCAAGCGCACGTCCTTATACGATCCGAAACCTCCGATAACGCCCGGGCAGACGCCGAAGGCCGGCCGGGGGTGTCCTCCTCCACCGCGGCGGGCGGCAGGCAGCTTGGTCCCCCAGGCTGGGTAACGGCCCAGGGAGAACAAACCGGAAGAGATTCACTGTTTTCTTTTTTTTTACAAGTTATAAACAACACGTTTTTTTTGTAAGGGAAGAAATCAACAGAGCTCGCGTCTAAGAAAGCAAACATTCACAGGGAAGTCGTTCGATGGCATCTGCTCTCTGGTGGGAAACTGAACGAAAACAGCCAAGCCCAGGGAAAGACCAATTAGCGCTATTTAGGCGACGGCGCTATCCCCGCTTCCTCCAACAACAGGCAGAGCTGGCTCCCTCTACCCTCCGACGGCGCTGCTCGCCAGCTACGCGCCCAACGCTTCCTCCTTCCAACACCCGGTGGGCGATCCGCTCGTCCTCAGTGCCAAGGGCAACGACCAGCAACACCGGAGGGCACCCCTGGCAGGCCTCACACGCTGGGGGAGAAAGAGCAACAACAGAGAAAAGGAAAGGGAGCCGAGCCTCAGGCAGGGACACGCAGAGGGGCTCAGCCACTAGCCACCGGATGGGGGCCCTGGTTGTCCAGAGTAGGGCATCCTGCCCGGCCGGGCGTGGCTCAGCGGTTGAGCGTCGACCTGGGATCCAGGCGATCGGGGTTTGATTCCCGGTCAGGGCACGTGCCCGGGTTGCGGGCTCGATCAATGACTCTCTCATCATTGATGTTTCTGTCTCTCTCTCTCCCTCTCCTTTCCTCTCTCTGAAATCAATAAAGATATATTTTAAAAAAAAAAGACATCCGGTGAAACTAGAGGGGTGTCTCTCGCCTTAGCTCTGACCCTCACTCGTTCTGAGATCACGATTAGGTCCGTTTTGTGCTCCATGATATATATATTTTTACTGATTTTTAGAGAGAGAGGAAAGGAGAGAGAGAGAGAAACATTGATGAGAGAGAAACATCACTGACCGGCTGCCTCCTGCACAACCCCTGCTGGGGATCGAGCCCAAAACCCGGGCATGTGCCCTGACCGGGAATCGAACCGATGACCTCTTGGTTCGTGGGCCCATGCTCAACCTCTGAGCCACACCGGCCCGACCTCCATGACCTTCGGTGCTCTATTTACCCCGGGTTTTTAAAGACAACTGGTCTACCCCATCTGCGCCCCAGGGAAGCCTGCTACAGCCACGAGCCCGCCCCCAGAGTCACGGGGTCACGGAGGGACACAGGGGAGCATTCTGCCAAGAAACATGGGACTCTGACCTGCATATGCACCCAACAATATAGCTTCAAGATACCTGAAGCAAAACCTGATAATAAAATCGAAAGGAAAAAACAGACCCATCCACAAGTTTGGTTGGGGATTTCAACACCCCTCTCTCAGCCACCGATGGGGTAACTAGGCAGGGAAATCACCAAGGACACAGAACTAAACTTCGCCATCAGCCGACCCAATGAAATCGACACGTAAAGGACCCGACCACAGCGGAATATACTGTATTTTTTTTTTTTTTCAAGTGTCCATGGAACATTCACCTGGACAGACCGTCGTATCCTTAGGGCATAAAACAAACCTCAGCAAAGCGCATACGGCCTTGGCCGGGTGGCTCACTTGGTGAGAGCGCCGTCCGGAGACGCCAAGGTTGCCGGTTAGATCCCCGGTCAGGGCACAGGCAAGAAACCACCGAGCGCACGAATGAGGGACCGCGAATCGACGTTTTGCTCCCTCTCTCTCTCTCTGTCTCCCCGTCTCCCTCCCTTCCACGCTCTCTAAAAAAAAAAAAAATCAATGGAAAAAATTATCCTCCGGTGCGGATTAACCAAAAATAAACAAACACAAACCCTGCGACATTTCTAACTGAAGGCCCCGAGGACGGAAGGAACTGCATCTAATCCGCAGCACACACTGGCCGGAGCTGTTCGGTGCTGACGAATTCCAGAAAGTAATTGCATGAAATACTTGGAGAGGAAACGGCTTGGTGCTGCCATCCTATTTATGGAAATTAGCATTTCTGTAAAAATAAACCGAGCGCAATGACAATCGTAAGCCTTGAAATGTGGTTTCCATAAGACGTGCTCTCGGCTGCTCTAAGATCCCCTCGCGGCGAAGTCGGGGGGGGGGGGCCTCCTTTCTCTCTCTGCTACAGAACAGTGACCTATAATTGGTTTTTTCCTCTTATAATTTTTTGTTTTTAATTTTCACCGAGGATATTTTTCCATTGCTTTTCAGAGAGAGTGGAAGGGAGGAAGGGAGGGAGGGGGAGAGAGAGAGAGAGAGAGAAACACTGATGTGAGAGAGACGCGTCGGTTGGTTGCCTCCCGCAGGAGCCACAACCGGGACCCAGGGATCGAGCCTGTAACCCAGGTATGTGCCCTTGACCGGAATCGAACCGGAGGCCCTTCGGTCCGAGGGCCAACGCTCTAACCACTGAGTGAAACCAGCTAGGGCTCCTCTTATATCTTTAATCCCTCCCTGTCTCCTGGCTGCTTCCCTTTGGTGGAAATATATCCTGAATGTTCACTTTGCTTAAAAAAAAAAACAACACAAACAAATACCTTTCCAATGATCCTGTTTCTCTCCCAAATGGGGCTGCCGGCTGGGCAAGAGGACCCCGGCGGCCCAAGGCAAGGCAGAGCTGGACCTCCTGCTCCCAGGAACTCTGCGGTTCGATTCCAGTCGGGGCACAGGCCCCGGTTGTGGGCTCGACCCCCAGCAGGGGGCGAGCAGGAGGCAGCCGACCCATGACTCTCATCATGGATGTTTCTCTCTCTCTCCCTCTCCCTTCCTCTCTCCGAAATCAATAAAATATATTAAAACAATATTTTTTTTAATTGGACTGGACTTCAAGAAACGAAGTCCCGAGATTTCATGGGACTGGATTTGGACAAATCGTGGCTGCCGCCTGTGGTTGGCTCCGTACTTATGTCCCACTGCGCTGAGACTCTGCGATGACGAAGGCTGGGGAAGGGAGGAGAGTTGGAACCGGAGCGGCTGTCTTCTCAGGGCAGATCGGGGTCTCTAGAGAGAGAACCTGGGGCAACAGGAAGCTTCCAGGGCCCGTGAGACAGGAAGAGGGAGGCCTCCCCCCCGTCTGGGTGAGGGAAACAGAGCCGGCGGCTCCGGGAATGGCCGGGGACCGCCGACCTCGAGGCTCGCTCTGCCGTCTGTCACCATTACTTGTGCTTGGTGGATGCGGGAGTTTATATTTTAGCCGATTTCATTAAAAAAATTCGGTTTTTTTTAAGTGACTGGGCACACCCCATACTCCAGGATGGAAGTTCAGCCCCACACACGTGTATTACTCGTCTACCAGCCACCTGGTGGCAGCACTAATGAGACAAGGGGGATACTAAGAACACCTTTAACAACCCCCCAAACACCAAAACCCCAAGAAATCTGAGGGCCAGCTGTGGGTCACACCCAGGCTGTCCCTAGGGAGATAACCACGTGTCCAACCCATGGGCAGGACGCTGGGACTGACCTACCCTTCACCAGAATTCCCCAGGGCCCAAGGTGGGACCCTCCCGGCCAATCCCGCCCACACCTGCAGGGCCCCCCTTCCAGCCTCTGCAGCATCTTCTCAGCTGATGCCTCCCCAGCGCCCCCTACAGTCTCACAGCGTTGTTTTGTTTTTAATCCTAACGGAGGATATTTTTTTTCATTGCTTTTCAGAGAGAGTGAAAGGGAGAGAGAGAAAATCGATGTGAGAGAGAGACATCGATTGGTTGCCTCCCGCACGCATCCCGACAGGGGCTGGGGATCGAGCCTGCAACCGAGGTACACATGCCCTTGGCCGGAATCGAACCCAGGGCCCTTCAGTCTGCCGGCCGAAGCTCCAACCACTGAGCCAAACCGGCCAGGGCCAGACAGGTTTTGTTTGGTTCTGTTTGTTACTTTTTTCCACTTCATAATGGTTTAACTGCTCCAGACAATTCAGTGAGGTAGTTACCCGGCCCTCCCTAAAGATGTGGAGACTGAGATACAAAGACGTCCACACGACTGGTCTGAAGGGGTGGAGGGGCTGGGATTCGAACACTGGGCGGCGTGGACGACGAAGACCACTGGCCTGCAATCTCCTTTTACGACCTTCTGTGCACACTGCCCCATACATGGGAACACACTCCCAGATTCGGAAAAATCCGAAAAGAGGTTCGTGAGTTATTCAAGCCGGGCAAACACCCTGCCCTTGGCCAAAGGTCAACAGGCTGCCTCGGAGCACATTTAGACTTTATAGGGTGCAAGGAGACAGCAGGAAGCTCAGCGCCATGAAGCCTCAGCCCCGTTTGACCGGAACAAAGTCACTGACGCTCTCAACGGCCTGCTTGGGAGCAGCGGACGGGTTGGAAAAGCCAGTGTCGGCTTTTTTTTCTTTTTTTTTGCCACACACGCCGCCTTGCTGACCAGGAAACTATAAAATCGCCCTGAAAATACTTAACGTTTGTTCTAACAGAAGATATCTATTGAAATGTGATTACGGAGCAGCATCGGTAAAATGGGATCACAGGAGGGGTGAACTTGGCCAAGCCGTTCCCGTGAGTCACAGAAATCACGGGACGTTGGAGCTGAAGGAAGCCTCAGAAACAGAGTCCAAGAGAGGCAGAGAAGTCTGACAAACACACCCAGTGTGTCTCTTCCTTCGTGCGTGCAGGCTCACAGGAGTTAAAGCCCCGATTAAATGCCAGGCCCGCTGCTAGACCCTGAGGGTACGCAGGCCACCAGGCCACGTGTCTGAGAATTACGACTACAGGGAGGAGGCCTCCTTGTTCCAGTTCACACAAGACACTGTATGGGCCAGCAGCAGCCCTCAGGACACAGTCCTAAGATGTGTTCTACGCTTTTAAATCTGGGACAAAAACTACTTGACCATATATATCCAGGCTACAAACCCATCTGTCTGACTTTCAAGGCTTCAAAAACCAGATTTCATAGGAAATCTGGATGATCCGGCTATCTGCAAAAATCAGAAGATCTGGCAATCGTGGGCTTGTGTCCTCACTTGGCGAGGATCAGCTGGAGCTGAGCAGAGGTGGTTCTGAATAGATGAAGCCTACGCCATCCACTTTGCCACAGTCTCCACCACTCCCTACTGTCTCTCAGGCAATGCTAACGTCACTCCTTTGAGTCTGCCCCGTCGGCCAATGAGAATGCAACAGAGGAGCCGGGTCCTTCCTCCCAGATTAGTGGGAAAGAAAGGAGTCTAAAGAGAAGACTGCAAAACAGCATGGTATGTGTTGAACAGAAGTAAACTCAGAAGACTCAGTCGCTGAGCTAAGGCCAGGCCCTGAGCTCTGCCCATTCTTTGTGTCCTGGCCTCTGGCAGCCCAGTCTCTAGACTGCAAAGGCAGGGTCCATCACAGCCCCGAGTCATCGATGGCACACAGTACCCACCGTGGTTATTAAGGCCCTTGCTTAGGACGGAGGGGATTCGGATTATTCTTACAGGTAAGTCAACCGGAAATACCATTTACTGGAGGTAAGAGAGAAAATTATATTTTCTTTGCTATCACAGCGCATCTTAGGTCAAGGGTGGCCCTGCCGAGGCAACCGCAGGTGGGACTCAAAAATTCAATATATCTAGCAGCTTTTTTCACAGCTAACTTTTAAGCTGATGATTTTGTATGGCCCGCGAATGATGTTATAAATATCCAAATGGCCCTTGGTAGAAAAAAGGTTCCCCGCCCCTGTCTTAGGTGATCTAGAACAAGGCCCCTAAGTCGACAGAGGGATGCCTCCCGTTTCCCTTCCCCTGCCTGTTACCTGCAGGAGGGCCGAGTGCATGAAGACCATCCGTATCAGCAGCCACCAGGGGCTCTTCCAGGAAGCCATGGGGTCCGGCGTCCTGGGGGAGGGAGGTCTCACGTGCATGTCGCCTGCAAAAGAGGAAATAGTTGGTTTCCAACCAGCTCTGGCCCCGGGTACAGCTCCCGGGATGTAACAGCCCAAATCAGAGGGAGACTGGAGACGTCTGTGTTGGTCCCGGATGGGGCTACCTACTACAACTACTCCAGGGCCCAGGCCGCCTGGGGCTCTCTTTTAGGATCCGGAGGGCAGCGGGGCTGGGCTCCAGGGTGCCACCCACCCCTCCGGCCCTGCAGAAGCTGAGGCATCTCTGCACCAGCCTCTTTTCTTTCCAGCTCATTTGTCAGCGGCAGGGTGTGGCTACTGGCAACCAACTCAGGAAGGCAACGTGGAGCCAAGAGGTTAGGGCACCTGCCAGGTTCTGCTACTTCAGGCAAAAACGAGTCTCAGAGGCCAACTGAGCGGGACCACAGAGGGGAAGGGACCTACCTAAGGTCACCCAGCAAGAGAGGGGCTATTCCAGGCCCGGGGTGCAAGTTTTCCGAGAGTCCTAGGATCTCCCCCACCCGACGACACCGTGCGCCCTCGGAGAGGCGGCCAACAGTCTCCCAAAGGAGGGAGGGCGAGGCCGCAGGGGCCCCGGGACACCAGGAGGCCGGCGGAGGGGGTCCCCCCAGAGCCTTCCCGGGAATTCACCGCGAAATCGGCCCGAGTCCGAGACTGGAAAAGCCCAAGTCACCCTCCTCGCCTCGCGCTGCGCCTCGCGGGCGCCTTGGCGGAGGCGCGGGTGTCCGGGGGCGGGTCGGTGGCTCGTCTCCATCTGGAGAAAGCATTAAGGGCCTGGCCTAATGCGATCCGCAAATGTGCTGCTGCTGCTGCTGCTGCTGCTGCTTCCGACCCGGGGCGCCGACTCCCGGC